GTATCCATACAATGGGATATTATTTGGCCATAAAAAGTAATGAAGTACTGATTCATACTACAACATGGATGAATCTTAAAAACATTACACTAAGTCACAATTGATTCGATGTATAGTAAATGTCCAGAATAGGTAAAGCTATAGAGAAAGAAAGGAGGTTAGTGGTTGCCTAGAATTGAGAGATTATGTATGTGTGTATTTGGGGGTCGGGGGAAGAGAAAAGGGAAGAGGGTAGTGACTGCAGATGAGTATAGAACTTCGGGTCAATGAAAATGTTCTATATGACAGTGGTGATGGTCACACAACTTTGTGATATCTGGCTCATATAATTTAAATTGGTGCATTGTATCTCGATAAAGCTTTTTATAAAAAATAATGTATTACTACTAATACATTCAACAAGATAGCTGAACTTTCAAATAATTATGCTGAATGAAAGAAGTCAGACTAAAAAGTAGTAAACTCTAGAAAATGCAAACTAATCTATAGTGCCAGAATGGTCAATGGTAGCTTGGGGATGTGGAGGCAGGGAAGGCAGGAGAAAGGGATTTCCAAGGGACACAAAAAATACTTGGTGGGGGAGATAAGTATATTCACTATCTTGATTGTGATGATGGGTTCATGGGTGTATACGTATGTCAAAATTTACCAAATTGTACACTTTAAATGTGTGCAGTTTCTTGTATGTCAATTATATCTTAATAGAGGCACAGATGGCTATGCAAAGCACCATTTCAACAATGCTAGGGCTTACAAAAAAAAGTTTAGAAGAAACTCTGAGAAAAAGGAAATTAGGAAGAAGTTCTGAGAATGTATTATCATATCGTGATATGATTTAGCCAAAGAATTACCAAAGAATCACTTTCCCATTGATAGTCTTGTTAAAAAGAAAAGGTGATCTAATGGTGTCTGCATCGGCTGCAGTATCAGAAGCATTTAGTTCGTCTTCACAAGAGTCACCCCAGCTTGGCAGTGTATCCACATCCACAAACTGGGAAGGCGCACCCAAGGGATCCATGGAATGGGAACTTCAGCTCGTCTTTTCCCAAATTCCTCAGCAACTCAATGTTCACGGGAGACTTTAGCTTCAGAGAAAAAGAAACCAATGTTTTAATAGAGGAGCACAGATACTACTTTACTTCCATGAGCGCAAATAACAAAACCCTACTGTGAAGTGCTCTCACGGTATATTGTATTATTGTAGTCACGTATACAGTCCATAAAAATCAATGTACCACAAAGGATTGCTAATTTTTCTCTCTCTAAATTTCTTCCAGCTTTTCTAAAATAGGAAGAGGGATTATTTAAGCACAAATTCTTTTCAGAGAATTACAGCCACTAAAATAATCACAGGGACCACCAATTCTTCTTTCCAGAAACATAGGAATATTCATTCAACACTCACCGAGTGTCGGCTAATGGGGGAAGAGCTAGGTGCTGCAAGATAAGTAATATGTACAACTTAAAGAGTTCAGTCTAATGATAATGTGGCAAAATACAGAATGAGAAGCAGGGAGCTTACTTCAATCAAGCAGTAAGAGATAATAAGGTTTGAACTGAGTAGAGAAGGAGATGGAGAAAGCATGGATTTTAAAGGCCTACATTCGTGCTCTGCACATGCCTAACTGTCTACTCTCTCAATACCAGGATAAAAGTGCTTGAGAAGATTATTTTTATTTGCTACTAAGTACTCCTTTGAAATTATTTTGAAATAAAGAAACTAATTTTATCCACAAGTTTGTATTTAGTCCATCGAATCAGCCTTTGAAACTGGAGGCACAATTCTATTGATCTGTTCACAAGTATTCAGACTTCAACTGCACAAGCTGAACAGAGGACATAGGGAGACCACACTCACTTTCCACTTGACCAGTTCTGTAAGAGAATGCAGTATCCTCAATTCTCTTTCACAACATCTTGATCACCTTTCCCTCAGTCTGCCTATCCCCAAAACATTTCCCTACCCCATTTCTCCTTCGGAAATGGAAACTCTTTTCACTGCTGAACTTTTTGAAAGTAATCTGTTTTGCAGCTCTACTTCCTATTCTTCCATTTATGCAACGTACTGCAGTTTTGCTTCCACCTCTCTAAATGCTAAAGCTGCCCTTTCAAAGTCAGCAATAACTCCCCAAACGTGGAATCTAAGAGCTAACCAACGTTTAGCTGCATTTACTATTGATTATTCCCTTCCTGAAACGCTATTACCTTCTTTGACAGCACACACTCCGGGTTCTCCTTTATCTCCAACCTCATCTTGTTAGACCTTCTTCCCAGATCTTAAGTCATTGTGACCCACAAGATACTGGATGTTAAATGAGTAGTAAGTAACAGAGCGCTATTTGTAGGGCAGAGTTGAATGGCATTTAAGGGCAGTGCATGGCATTTAACAAAGGGTAAATTCTTTTTCAGCTCCATCTCTAAACAGAAATTTACTTTCTAACAAAAAAGAAATTTAAATCTCCTCCGCCCCAGCGATACAAATGGAGCCCCAAAGCCAAGCTAGGCAGGAAAATCTGATTCCTTATCCTTAAGGAACAATAATTTTTAACATTCTTGGGGTCACAGGCCCCTTTGAAAATCACATGAGTAATAAAGACCCTTTCATCACCCAAAATGTGAGCACATAAGCTCATACTTCCAAATAAATTTGAGAGGGTTCTCAGACTCAGATTAAGAATCCCAGTGATGGACGTAACCGATTTGGCTCAGTGGATAGAGCGTTGGCCTGCGGACTGAAGGGTCCCAGGTTCGATTCCGGTCAAGGGCATGTACCTTGGTTGAGGGCACATCCCCAGTAGGAGGTGTGCAGGAGGCAGCTGATCGATGTTTCTCTCTCATCGATGTTTCTCTCTATCCCTCTCCCTTCCTCTCTGTAAAAAATCAATAAAATATATTTTTTTAAAAAGAAAAAATAATCCCAGTGATGGAAAGAATGCAAACAGAGGGCTCAGGTAAAGAGAGAGGATGGGTTCAATCCCCAGGCAGTGCATATACAAGAATCAACTAAGGAATGCATAAGTAAATGGAACAACAAAATTGATGTCCCTCTTTCTCCTACTTCCTCTCTATTAAAAACATCAATTAAAAACACACACAATAGAATTAAGCAGAACACCTTGGATCACTGTCTCAAAACAACCTGATTGTTGTCTGGATCAAAAGAAAACTATCATTTTCCATTTAGATCTGTGTAGTACTTATTCTTCAAAATGCTTACACTCATTAGATAGGCCTAGATAAAATTACAAGAGAGCTGGTCCTTGCTTTTGATCTCCCTTTAAAAAAAAATGTTTTTATTGATTTCAGAGAGAGGAAGGGAGAGGGAGCGATAGAAACATGGATGAGAGGGAAACATCAACTGGCTGCCTCCTACACGCTCTCTACTGGGATGGAGCCCCCACCCCTGCATGGCATGTACCCCAACCGGGTGGGAACCATGCTCAACCAACTGAGCCACACCAGCTGCGCTTGACCTCTCATTTCGACCAGTTCATTTTCACTGTCTTTGCATAAATTACAGGTTTACCATTCTTTACGTCTTTGTATTTCAATATTTATTCGGGGTACATTAGATATTTGTGCACAATACCTTTATCCCAACATCAAATCCATTATATTTAAGTCATTCTATGCAAATGGAAAGAATGACTTTTCTTTTTTTTCAAAATTACTTAGATGGAAAAACAAACAAGCAGTCAAATATGTCAACAATAACTAGAGTATAACACACATATTGCTAAACCGTGTCAATGGCACAGGTCCAATTCAACACCATCATTCAAAAACATCCAAAGCACATGCTGTAAGGGTGGGTTAGTAGTACCACATTAAAAGAACTTTACTATCTTCAATTTTAAGTACTAATACTCTGAGCACTTTTAAAATCTAAATAAGAAATTAGGGTCATACTCTTGTATAGTGTATGTAGTGGGAACTTCGTAAGATGCATAACCTTAGCACTCAGTCACAGCTGCCCTTACACCAACTTTTATCAAATGTGAGATTAGTTATCTACAGTATACACAGGTGTACAACAGCTGTCTTAGCATCAGATCATCCAAGGGGTGTGATCTAGGTAGTAGGTAGCCTACTACGTTTTCTACGGAAGCATAGGTTAGCTTTCCTTTTCCACAGCTACAGACACCAGGACTCATTTTTGAACCTTTCTGTGCCGCCCAACTATACAGGCGAACAAAACTGCAAGAGCACCTAAGCCTCAGTTACCCAGCGAGGGGGAGTCAGCTCTGGTCACTTCCTCCTCCAGCGGCCAGGGAGCGGAAACACAAAGCCGGACCAATGTCACTCCAGGGACTGCGGGGATCCAGACAGTTCGGCACGGGACGCCCAGTCCACCGGGGCAACATACAGATCCCACCCCGGGACTACAACCCGCAGGGCTCCCGCGCCCCATTTCTCCGCACCCAGGGCACGCGCCTCCCCCGTGACCACAGCATCACGATCCCAGTGCCCGGGTCTGCCTACCTTCCCTCCTCCCGGATAAGCCGTCCCGGACGGCGCACCGGGAAAGAAAGAGAAACCCAGCAGCGGGGAAGGATCATTCTTCCAGAGAAGCCACAGAACTGACCCTCTGCCCGCACACCCAGCCGGGGTGAGTCCAGTGCGCCC